CTATGACGTTTTACGTTCTTTTTATAATTGGAGTTTTTATGCCTTACTATACTATGACGTTTTTTATGACTTACTATACTATGATTTTTTTTTTACTTACTATACTATAACGTTTAATGCCTTAATATACTATGATGTTTTTATGTTTTATTATACTATAATTTTTTTTGGACTTACTATACTATGACGTTTTATGCCTTGCTATAATTTGATGTTTTTATGCCTTACTATACTATGACGTTTTATGCCTTAATATACTATGATGTTTTTATGTTTTATTATACTATAATTTTTTTGGCCTTACTATACTATGACATTTTATGCCTTACTATACTATGACGTTTTTTATGACTTACTATACTATGATTTTTTTTTTACTTTCTATACTATAACGTTTAATGCCTTAATATACTATGATATTTTTATGTTTTATTATACTATAATTTTTTTGGCCTTACTATACTATGACATTTTATGCCTTACTATACTATGACGTTTTTTATGACTTACTATACTATGATTTTTTTTTTACTTTCTATACTATAACGTTTAATGCCTTAATATACTATGATATTTTTATGTTTTATTATACTATAATTTTTTTGGCCTTACTATACTATGACATTTTATGCCTTACTATACTATGACGTTTTTTATGACTTACTATACTATGATTTTTTTTTTACTTTCTATACTATAACGTTTAATGCCTTAATATACTATGATATTTTTATGTTTTATTATACTATAATTTTTTTGGCCTTACTATACTATGACATTTTATGCCTTACTATACTATGACGTTTTTTATGACTTACTATACTATGATTTTTTTTTTACTTTCTATACTATAACGTTTAATGCCTTAATATACTATGATATTTTTATGTTTTATTATACTATAATTTTTTTGGCCTTACTATACTATGACATTTTTATGACTTTTTATGCCTTACTATACTATGACGTTTTTATGTCCTTATTATACTATGACGTTTAATGCCTTACTGTATTATTACGTTTTTATGTCTCATTATACTATGATTTTTTTTGACTTACTATACTATGACGTTTTATGCCTTAATATACTATGACGTTCTTATGACTTACTATACTATGACGTTTAATGCCTTGCAACATTATGACGTTTTTATGTCTCATTATACTGATTTTTTTTGACTTACTATACTGACATTTTATGCTTTGCTATAATTTGATCTTTTTATGCCTCACTATAATGTGACATTTTTATTTCTTACTATACTATGACATTTTATTCCCTACTATACTATCATATTTTTATGCTTAATTATACTACAATTAACTTATGGAGTGGTGCAGTGGTTAGAACTGTCGCCTCACAGTCAGAAGTTTCTTGGTTTGAATCCCAGGCATGGGGCCCTTATGTCTGAAGTTTGCATAATTTCCGTGGTCCTGCGTGGGTTCTCTCTGGGCAGTCTTCCTTACTATACTATGACGTGTTTATTCCTTAATATAATTTGATGTTTTTATGTCTTACTGTCTTACTGTACTATGATGTTTTTCACTTACCATGACTTCTTATGCTTTACTATACTATGAAGATTTCATGCCTCATGACGTTTTATGCCTTAGTATACAATGACGTTTTTATGACTTTAATGCTGTAGTCATAAAATGCACAATTGTTTTGTCTACCTGCCCCACTATTTAATGAAAAATAAGACGAAATCTCCTCAGGACTTGAGGATGCAGGCAGGAAAAATGTCACTGTACCATTGTGTGAAACCTGCACCTCCATGGCACTGCCACTACACACAGATGCACCACTTACTCATGTGTGGCTGTTAAGGTCGTCCTTCCAGTTGTAGCTGGTGGTGAAATTTGCAGCTGATGACAAATTCAAAGGGGGCTGTCAGTGGGCGGAGACGTGCAGCTGTGTGCAGTGATTTTGTCTCTTTGGAGTTTTATTCTCAACTAGAATGGTGAAAGGTGTTAACTTTGAACTACAAGCCAGAAGGAATTGTACTGTATGTGATGTAATTCAGCGACCATGGTGAGCAGAATACTAAACATTGTGTTGGTTTCTCAGAGTCTGTGGGCCTCCGTGGTCGCCTCCTGAGGAAAATCGAGGCCTTGAAGGCAGAGCAGAGCGGCTCAGAGGCCCCCGACGAGTTTCTGTGTCCAATCACCAGAGAGCTGATGAAGGATCCAGTCATTGCTGCAGGTCAGACGAAAAAAATTATGACATGTCCAATGTCTCAAACTGAGTCAGAGCTGGTGCCTGTGATTCTTTCTGCAGAGATCTTTTTTTTCTACATAAATTATTGTTTCAGTCTATTTGAGATGTCAAAATCTGTCTACCCCACAGATGGATATTCCTATGAGCGAGAATCCATTGAGAGCTGGATCAGAGGCAAGAACAAAACCAGCCCCATGACAAATCTGCCCCTACAGACCACACTCCTCACCCCCAACAGGTCTCTGAAGATGGCAATAACACGATGGAAGACGAGCCAGTAGACAGCAGCTCATTTTAGCTTGTTTGTCAGAATCCACCAGAATCCAACAGGTACTTTATCATTAAACAGTACTGGCTCATCTGATAACCAGTCCTCTGATTACCATTTAAAGTAAATGGTAAGTAAGTAAGTAATTATTATAATACAGTTGACAAAATAATCTGAATCCGATGTTTCACATAAGATATCTGAAAAAAGAAATAACATTAATATCTTTCTTAAAAGTGCAAAGTTGAATTCATGACTACTGAAACAGTCTTGCTCTAAATGGTACACCAAGGTTTCACTGCTACACCCTACCTCATCCACTAAGACCAATAGCTTGCAGTAGCTAATGTTAGCTAATTTTAGCCAAATTTAGATATGACTGAGATAGATCGCTGACAATATGACTCTTGCCAGTTACACTACATTTAATTATGTCACAGACAATAATTTGAATGTTTTTATCACAAATGTAAAACAAGAAAATCACACACTGCATGTACCTCGCCTGAAATGAATGGAAATTCAATGTGACATTATGCTGTTTGCCACCTGTGGTCTCTCTTCAGCAGAACCTTTATAGTCCTGCTTTAAATACTGAAACACTGCATGGTCTATAGGCTTTTTGGCAGTGACAAAACAGCTGCTTAATGTTTACATAATAATTAAATGTCCTCTTAAGTTAAGCAGTCTTATGTTTTAGAATAAGTCAGCAGACTTGATTGTTTTTTCCTCAGAGGGTCTTTATTTCTCTCTCCCATGATGGCTATGGCAGTAATGTTCTATTACAGTATGTGATCACAGCTAATAAAGCTCACAATACTGAAAACATGGCAACAATTGCATTTAATGTACATATTAAAATAGAGGGGATGGCACTGTACCCCAAAACCATTTCTGTTTTTATAGATTTTTTTTTAACTCTGTAATATAAACTGCAATTGTAGCATGCACTTAAACTCAACATTATTGAGAATCATAAAATGTCTTAGTAGCTGTGCAAAAATAACTATATAAAATATATTGCTTTTACAATTAACCAAGCCATTGGCGCTGTAAATAAATTAAACTAGACAGCAACAACAAGCAGATACAGAAAGGATTTCAACTCAATGTTAATGGTGATTTATATAATGTACAAACATATTTAACAAATGCTTTTTTAGAACCTTTAACACCATTTGAACAACATTGTGCATAAAACTCAAAATACACAAGTCTAAACTTGTCCATACACTTAACATAGACCTTCACTGGAAAAAAAAGGAAAAGTACATATTTATATAATATACACAAGGATCTATAACATCCTTCTTAAAACACAGGAATGCCCGTCCTTCAGACTTTCTTAAACCTTCACTGAGGACTTTCTCTTCCTTACTTCTCTCTCAGCACCATGGACGTATTGAACACCGTTCAAACCTCATTTCCATTCTGTAATAACATTAAGCTGTAACTGAATATGTTGTTTTAAGCGGCCTAACTGTATATAAAGTGCTCACTGTCACTGTTTCGTTTTGATAAGGACTTACAGTACATGTCCGAATACTTCCTTCAGTGCAATGTCTCCAGCTTGGCTGAATGACGGCGGACATGTTGTCATGTAACAAGCTGACAGCCACAAGCGACAGGTTGAGAGGAGAGAAATCTGGAGCATTCAGTACACTGCCCGGCCTGTGTTCACAAAGGAAAACAAACAGCTTGCATACTGTACTACTTCCAAGGTTTAAAAGTTAAAACTGTATTCTGTCTGGGGCCGGTTAAAAAAAAAAATTAAAATAACTCCTCCTCACTTAAGATTTTTGCTAGTGTGTGTGCGTTGTGGACTGTATGAGTTAAAGCATACATCTCTACACATTCGACTCTATAAATGATCGCTTTGGTTTCATTGAAGCTACGTGAATGGCAGGATTATCTCGGGCTAAGCCAGGCTGCTTGGGCTTACTGTCGATGAAAGTGTGCGGCATAGCCAGTGCTGGCTTGGACTCTTTGTAACAGTTGGCGGCTTGGCAGAATTTCTCTGTGAATTCCTTGGCGTGCATGCCATTTTGTAAGCTACTCATTGCCATAGCACCCTGAGGTGCTGGAGGTTTGTGCTGCTCCTGGTAAGTGCTCACTGTTTTGGTGTAAGGCAGCTCACAGTCGACAGGCTGCAGGCCCATTGCTGACATGTTGTGACATACCATCAGACCGTCAGAGGAGTGGTTCAGCCAGCTGCGGCTGGCGGACTGTAGGCTCTGGTGACTCTGCAAGCCGTGGTGCTGCTGCTGCTGCTGTTGTTGGAGCTGCTGCTGAAAGCGAGCCGTCTTGTCAGTTATGCCCATGAAGGGTCTGGGTTTGTACTCTGTAACAGAGGGGGCCTGTTGGCTGTGCTTTGTCTTGGTGCGGACATCAGGTCCCAGCTTGCCGCTGTCTGATAAACTGCTGCTGGATGCAAGGCTGCTGGTGGAGCTGGACACATGCATGCTGCTGCTGCTTCCCCCTCCCTGCGAGACAACTGCACCACACATCCCTTCCTTTACTGTGTCAGCGTGGTTCCCCTGGAGTCCAGGACCAGAGCAGGCCAGCCCATCCAGAGAAGATGCAGAGTGAGCAGACAGCCTGTCTTGCCCCACACCCTTGGAGCTGCTGCAGGATGTATAGGGGGCTTGGGCTGAATGAAGGCTCTCATTTTCACAACTGTGACCCATAGAGGTGGAGGCAGCTGCCAGCGACATGCGGTTCCCGTACACAGGCTCATCAGCCGGGGGAGGCAGAGGACTGATGTCGATGCCTGGTCCTGGCTTCAGCATGCTAGACATGTGTCGGCTCGGTAAGGGACTGGAAGGACCATACTGAGATTTGGGCCCTCCCGAGCGGCCCCCCACAGCCCCTCCCCCAGCCTGCATGGAGCTCATATGCTGGTTGGTCTTGACTATCTGGGCCTGCTTGGTGGGCTGCAGAACCAGGCCCTGCTGAGCCAGCGCCTCCCGGTGCTCTCGAGGGTACCGGTGAGGGGGGGGCCTGCTGGGGCCTGGGGGTGAGCTGGGGGTCAGACTCTGATTCTGATGTCCCATACTGTTGCTGGCAGGCTCAGAGGGTAAAACTCTGTTGTAGGGATAACTGTTTTGTGACCAGCAGGCTTCAGCTGTCCAGTCGTACTGCGAAGCCGTCGCCGCCTCCTCTTCCTCCTCTTCCTCTTCCAGGATGTCTCTTTGGCCTTCCACGCTCCTGGCAAGGCTGTGCTCTGACGGTTCCTCCTGTCCTTCATCTTGCTCCTGGTCAGACTCATGGCCTCCTGAAGCCTGGCTGGAAGCAGCTGCAGCTCCAGCGAGGCCTCCTTTGGGCTGCGTGCGCTGCATCTGTTTACACTCCTCCTCCACTCGAGCCAGCAGACGACGGATTTCTCGGTTATTGGGGCACAGCTTGGCTGCTTCGTGCAGGTCAGCCAGTGCTGCTGTAAACTGCCTGTGGATGGGAGAGAGAATGGAGAAAGACATTGTTACCGGATCCAGAACACATTTTTCACCATCAACAATAACAACTACAGGAGCTGGCCTGGAGCTGTGCTGAATAGTTTACCTGCTGCTTCTTTTAGCTCTTGCACGAGCGTAGTAGGCCTCATAGGATTTGGGTTTCAGCTCCAGTGCTTTTGTTGCAAACTCCTCAGCCATCCCAAAATCCTACAAAATGAGGAGAATAAATAAATTACAGTTAACCGGTTGATATTTTGATATTTCTATTATAACTGAAGGATTTAAAGATAATACATTAAAACATATATAGTGAAACTGTTCAGACCCCTTCAGTTTTTCACATTTTATGTTGCAGCCTTTTGCTAAAATAATTTAAAAAAAAATCTTCCCTCATCAATTTACACTATACCCAATAATGACAAAGAGAAAACAATTTTAGAAATTTCTGCTAATTAATCAAGAAGGAGAAACTGAAATATCACATTGACATCAAGTATTCAGACCCTTTGCTATGACACATGAACGCTGCTTGGAGTTTACAATAAAGCAGATAAAGGACTCTCAGACTATGAGAAACAAGATTCTCTGGTCTGATGAAACCAAGACTGAACTGTTCCACCTCAATTCTAAGCATCATGTCTGGACCAGGCATTGTTCATCACCTGCCTAATACCATCCCACTGGTGAAGCATAGTGGTGGCAGTCTCATGCTGTGGGGGTGATTTTCAGCAGCAGGGACAGGGAGACTGGTCAGGGTTGAATGAAAGCTGAATGGAGCAAAGTATAGAGATATCCTTAATGAACACCTGGTCCAGAGCGCTCAGTACCTCAGACTGGGCTGGAGGTTCACCTTCCAACAGTAGAGTGACTCTAAGCACACAGCCAAGACAATGCAGGAGTGGCTTAGAGACAACTCTGTGAATGTCCTGGCGTGGCCCAGCCAGAGCCCTGACTTGAACCCAATCGAAAATCTCTGGAGAGACCTGTAAATGTGGCTGTCCACTGATGGTCCCCATCCAACCTGACAGAGCTTGAGAGGATGATAAGAGATGAGAATAATGGCAGAACTTCCCCAAATCCAGAAGTGCAAATCTTGTTGTGTTATACCCAAGAAGACTTGAAGCTGTAATCGCTTTAAAGGGTCTGAACACTTATGTCAATGTTACACTTCAGTTTCTACTTTTGAATACATTTGCAAAAAAAAAAAATTCTGTTTTCACTTCGTCATTATTGGATATTGAATGTAGACTGAGGAGGGAAGATTTTTTTTTTTTTTGTATAAAAAAAATGTGAAAAAATTGAAGGGATCTGAACTCTTCCTGACTGTACTGAATTCTAAAATGGTCATCTCAGCGGCTCTAAGCTCCTGAGATGACCATCATCCCCGTCAGTCAAACTCTGTCGGAGTGAGGAGGCACGCTGGCACATACAGAACTGTTTCACAATTAGATTTGAGGAGTCCACTGCCCAGTACATCTGCAGTTTTCTGACCACTTCCTTCCTGTTACCATCTGAACACTAACAAGCTTCCCTTGCCCACACATGCTCAAATCATCTTGCATTTTTGAGTTCACAGATTTATTTTCTCTATAACAATTGGGGATTTTTCTTTGTTCTTCACCAAATATCTAAAAATACAATGCTGGTTGAGGGAAAAAAGGTGAATGTCTCCTGGGATGCTTACGTTGGTTTTTCTGCGACAGCGGGAGAGATTGAGGTACAGGGAGACCCTCAGGTCTTTAAATGCCTTCAGGTCATCGCCAAAGCCTTCTCTAGGAAACTTCCTCAGGGCGTACTGGTACCTCTGGGCTGCCTCTTTCATCTTCCCTTTCTGAAGGACACATGGAGGGCAAAGCATGCAGCGAGTGAGAGGATGAAACCAGGAGGAAAATATTGGGGGAGAGAAGCAGGGCAGGGTAGTCACCAGATACTCCCAACAATAGCTGAGCCCTCCCCTCTCATCAATCACACGCACACACGTTACACATGACTGGTTTATCCTTTCTGCCACAAACCTCAATCTATTAAACGTCAGCCATCGATAATGGCTCCTTTGCTAAGCAGTGCGGAACGTACACATCCATTAATTTTCTACATTTAACCAGGCTAGAAAAATTGGTAATCGCTTCAGTTGTCATGGTGAACTAAACTGTTCTGTAAAGCTTTTTTCACTTCCCTACCATATATAAAAAAAATACATTATCTGATACCTAAATTTGTCTTTTAGTATGGCAGAACAGCTCAGGAACATGAAACATTTCGTTAATATGCCAGCTGCACATCACCTTGT